TGTAGATCAAGATCATCAGAAGCCTGGCGCTCAGACCGGGTACTATACCACACCTGCTGTCTGTCGCTACAGTCTATTCCCTCATGCTTAATTAGTGTTATTATCATTTCTGTCCACCAGAGTGTGCTGTTTTTCAGATAAATGTTTCAATCTGATACTGATACTGTAATGTGATCAGTTTATGTCTTGTTACAGTGAGACTGCGCAAAGTAAGTCTTCCTAAAGGCTTGATGCTGGTCCAAATGTGACCGTGATCATGTACAGACTGTGAAGTGAGAGAGAAAGTGAGACGGTGACATTGAGGACACCATCAGCATGATTTTATGGAGAGTTCTTTCTCTAAATCTGAACATTGCCAAATAAAAAGAGAGTCCTTGTCAGTCCCCATAAATAACTAGTGTCTGAGCCTGAACTCTTCAGCTGTGGTGAATGTCCTTGTCTTTCTCTGCCACTCTGGAGAGACTACAGTGATTTGCAGCGACAAAGCGGCCAATGCCATTGTCGGTGAGAGTTGGTGATCTGAGATGACATGATCAACATGCGGTTGAGAAAAGTTCAAACTATATGTAAAATGACCAGTGATGTAATGCGGTAGCTACCAATGAAAGTGAGGACAAAGGAAGGCACACGTTAATAATACTGACACAAAACCATCCATCCATCCAAAAACAATTCTTCTGCAGATTTATTCATCTTGGTTAATGTTTATTTCTATACTAATGTATTTTTTAACATTTTGTATAAATGACCTAATGCATTTACTAATGCTAATTAAATGAGCTTTATTGTAAATATTATATATTTATTTTTCTTAGTAAAGCTGGCCTGTGCCAAATTCATCTCCTCAAACCACGTTGTGGTTGGTTGCCAGGGTGTTGCTGTGTGGTTGCCAAGGTGTTCTGAGCGGTTGTTAATTTGCTTACTGTCTCAAGTCAAAAAAGTCCACTCTGCTGTCCTCTATTATTTTGGCCAACACCATACTTGACAGTTTGAGCTAGAGGCGCACTTACATTTACATTTACTCATTTAGCAGATGATTTTATCCAAAGCAACTTACAAATGAGAACAATAGAAGCAGTTAAACTAACAGTAGGACAACAATATGCAAATGCTTCTCAATTTCATCTAACGCAGTCCATGATTTTTTTTTTTATTTTAATTTATTTTAATTTATTTTTAAAGGCACCAATTATCCCCCTTTTTTACAAGATGTAATATTGGTCTCGGGTGTCCCCAGAATGTATTTGTGAAGTTTCAGCTCAAAATACCCCACAGGTAGATTATTATAATCATTTCAAAATGTCATTTTTGAGGCCTGTTTAAAAATGAGCTGTTTTGGTGTATACAACCTTAAATGCAAATGAGCTGCATATCCCCGCCCTGCCTTTGGATAAGGGCGTAACTTGCAGACCTACAGTATGGCAGTCGGTCTAAGGTGGATTTTTATCATTCTTGGGTGGTTTTGCTCACACACTGCCAACATACATTTATGTTCAAACACCATGTAAAAGTGAATTTTCCATAAAAGGTGCCAGATTAGAAGAAAAAGTGTTAGTGTTACTGGAATTTAAGTGCTGCCGAAAAAGATGCGTCTTCAGCTGTTTCTTGAAAGTGGCTACTGACTCCGCAGCTCTGGTTGAGTTGGGCAGATCATTCCACCTGCAGGGAACAGTCATGGTAAAGGTCCGAGATTTTGTGCCTCTTTGAGATGGTACCTCAAGACAACATTCGCTTGCAGAGTGCAAGTTTCTGGATGGCACATAAGTCTGAAGTAATGAGTTTAGGTAAAAGGGAGCAGTGCCAGTGGTTGTTCTGTAGGCAATCGTCAGTGACTTGAATTTAATGCGAGTGGGAATTGGCAACCAGTGCAATTTTGCAATCTCTTCGGCTCATTAAAGATCATTCTGGCTGCAGCGTCTGGATCAGTTGCAGAAGTTGCAGAAGACCAGCCAGGAGAGCATTACAATAGTCTAGTCTGGATAAAACAAGCGCTTGAGCGAGGTGTTGTGTAGCATGCTCTGTTAGGAATGTCCTGATCCTCCTAATGCTGTGCAAGGCAAATCTTCACGACCGAGCAGTTCTAACAATGTGGTCTGTGAAGTTCAATTGATTATCAATTACAACCCAAGCTCTTGAGTTCTGGATGATGAGCCTATAGATGAATGGAGAAGTTTTGATGAAGTGGCCCAACTTATAGATGCTGTGTGTTTTTAAGCTTTCAGGAGTCTCTCTCCATAGTTTTCTGCAACTTTTTTCAAACTTTGTGAAACAGTTTTCATCTCCACATATTTGAAACTATTTTGGTGTAGAGAACCAGTGGGAGTGCTGCATTAGATTGGTTTAATGCTTTCCCATGATTCCCCAGTTAATCAAGATCTCAGCGGGGTTCTGTCATGGATTCGGCACCACTGATTTTCAACAAGCTATCAGATCGTAATCTCAGTGCATCTGGCCTATATGACATTGATGATATGCCTGAGTGACTTTTTAAGACTGCCCTTGGCCATTGCAGTTGGTTTTACAAGTTTAATTAAGCTTTCTTGAGATTTAATGTCACAAGACTCCAGTGAATGTGATTTTTCCCAAGACAGACATGTTCCTGGATCAACATTCCAATCAAATCGGTTTGAGGGACAAGTTTACAGTTTATGTCAAGTTTAGGCTTACAGCCAGGGTTAGGTGCTTCTACATTAGTGTTATTCTCTTATCATTACCTTCGGATTTTAAGGATATGTTATGGATAGGTTTAGATATAAGGGTGGGGATAGGGTTTGGAGAGAAATTTTTTTAACAGGAATGTTGTTCTGTCATGACAACTCTCAGTGAGATTGGCATGGCAATGTTACTGGTAATGTTATTTTTTCATTTTCGGTTCGAAGCCTAAACATGACATAAGCTGTAAACTTGTCCCTCAAATTTGATTGGTTGATTGGAAAGTTGAACATGTGGTACTTGGTGAAATCCCGTTCACAGACAGCCTGTAAATAGCCAAAAAGAACGGTGGAAGTTCAGAAAATGGATAAATTCACAGCACCTTAATAGATACAGAGCATACACAAACTAGATTCATTTAATTTAAAATAGATTTATTTTATTTATTTAATTTAATTTTATTTATATTTTTTATTTATTTATCAAATTTAAGTTTTATTTTGCATTTTTATTTTTTATTACACATATTTTTTTATGTCATTGCATTTAACTTGGGTCCATACGTGTATGTACTGTAAGTCTTTTTTTTCTCCTCATTTAGTGGTCCAATGGGCGAATATTGTAATCGTCTGATTTCTTATATAAAGCGCTCCCTTTTTCTTCAAACCACATCGTTTAAAGGATAATTCTTTTCTGAAGCACAAGTTCGAAATGCAATACTTATGGCGATTTATCTAAAGCGATGCTTGTCTTAGCAACATCACTAAATTAAAGTAACATAATACCTAATTTTAGATTACAGCCATTTCCTTCCACCAGGAATCTGAAAAAGCCTTGAGAAAGACCCTCAGTAACATAGAAAGAGGGATTGAGATTGAAAGGAAGTGAGAGGAAAGGAGGGCATCCTCCCTCAAGGAGTTACTGTCAGTGAGAGAGAAGGAATGAGTCATGGCTGATCAAAGCCTCCATTAGCAGCGCAGACACACTCTTCTCGTGCTGCTCAACAACCCCACTGAACAATTAAGATATCATGAACATCTCTGGTGGCCCAAAGTCATCCGAAAATCCACTTCAGGGCATAACCGAGAAAGACAGGGAGTGGGGGAGAGAGAGGGCAGAGTTTGGACGCAAGCAGACACTACAAATTAAGATTTACAAGCTACCGCTGCACTCTTAAACTTTAGCTTTAATTGCTGGCACACTGCGCCCCCTCCTTTGCCTTCTCTTTCTCGTTCTTTCTTTCTTATTTATGGAGGGTAAATGCCCTTGTTTTGACATGCATTGCATCTTCATTGCCCATGTAACTTACATAGCCGACAGTAGACGGTGACATTTGCTATAACCCACCCAATTCAGTGGAAACGCATGTTCTGTCAAGTGTATCATCAAAAAACAGGCTGCTCTTCCGCTCTTTACTCTCATTTTTCATATATGTTGTGACAGGTGAGATGTGAAGAAAGTGCACTTCACACTGACATGCCGCTGTCCTTTTTCAAACAATCTGCTGTCAGTGGGATTTTCAATGTAGCACAAATGAAATCTGGCATCTATCAATGTTGTCTGGTCCTGTTTGCCACTTAACAATCGCCAACGTAGAAAGAAAGACACTGACGTGTAACATTTAAAGGAGTAGTTCACTTTAAAAAAAACTTTTGCTGATAATTTACTCACCACCATGTCATCCAAGATGTCCATGTCTTTCTTTCTTCAGTCGAAAAGAAATTAAGGTTTTTGATGAAAACATCCCAGGATTTTTCTCCATATAATGGACTTCAATGGGAACCAAACGGTTCAAGGTCTAAAAGACCGTTTCAGTGCAAACTACAAACTGTTTAAAGGGCTTTAAACGATTCAAGACGATGAATAAGGGCCTTATCAAGTGAAAAGTTTAAGTTTTATAAGCTCAAATGCTCGTCTTGCTCTGCACTGTGATGCACGTTCGTGACTCTCCTGTTCGAACTCGTTTATCAAAATGAACAAATCTTTTCCCAAGTCAATTCGTTCATTTCGTCCGTTGACTGAACCAAATGAGACTAAAAAAGATTTGTTCATTTTGATAAACGAGTTCGAACAGGAGAGTCACGAACTTTAGGTTCGAATTTCAGGTTATTCAGAAATCGATTAAACGCAAAAATATACATGTAATGGAGTCTGTAATAGTATGTTGTTTTCATAATCTCATAATTTTACTAATTATTTGACATTTATTTTTTGACACTTTCAGTTGGCTGCATAAGCATATGGCGGATGTTGATTGCATGACTTTAAATATCGATTGGCTTTCTGCCCCAGAGGTGTTCAGTCAATGTATCAACATCAAGCTGAGAATTTATTTTCTGATCTTTCAGGAGTAAGGAGTGAACCCCTCCCCTCTGATTCAGATGGCAGACGGTCGGCAGCCCGAGGACAGCGGCCCCCAGTGGTCATCTCCGGGAGCCCAGGGCTCATCCTCCCCAGGTGGGCATGGAGAGAACGGCTTCTCTTCCTCCTACAGGGCTTGCCAGTCTGGTGGTGGCCATGCTGGTTCTGCCGCCTCCTACGCCAAAGAGAACGGCTTCAACGGAGACCTGACCTCTGGACACGCTGTGACTGCTGGTGAGAGCCAGATAATCATAGATGCCATTTCACATGAGATCCTTTCCAAGTTTTACATTATCATATGGTAGAGGTCAAATAGTCTTGGCTAGCCAGACTTGTGAATGGTGGCAAAGCATCTGGTCTTCATTGCAGTTTTTTTCTGGCCAAGAACTGCCCACTTAGACAGGAAGAGGCTGTAAGACTGTATATGTGTATATACAGTATACTGTACACTACTGTGCAAAAGTCTTTAGCATGTTAGTATTTTCACCCCCCCAAAATGGCTTTAAGCCAGTAATATATATCTTTTACTGAAGTGTGTCAGTATGAAATATCAGTTTACATTTCCAAACATTCATTTTGCCATTAAAGGGATAGTTCACCCTAAAATGAAAACTCTGTCAGTAATTACCCATCCTCATGTTGTTCCGACCCCGTAAGACCTTCGTTCATCTTCGGAACACGAATTAAGATATTTTTGATGAAATCTGAGAGCTGGATCACTCCTCCATACTAGTCCATAGGCTTCTTGAGGGATTGAAACTTGCCGGCCTCGAAAAGTTATTAAAGACATCGTGACTACAGTGGCTCAATCTTAAAGAGCACCTATCATGGATTCATGTAGTGTGGAATATCGCTCTAAGGGAATGAAAACATCCTGCAAAGATTTATGTCTGAAAGTGCACCGTATATAAAGTTAGTGTCTTTCAAAAGTGAGAGTCGACTCTGAGTCTATGAAATGAATTGTTTTTGAAACGAGTCATTAGCTGTTACATCGGGAGGTAGAGAGGTCATTGGCCGCTCCCAACAACTGCGCACGCAGACTTGAAGTGACGTCTAGAACACATTCAAATACTTCAGCTGAATAGCATCATGTCGAGAAGACGCTGTGTTCTACATTGCGAAGACACTTGTTTTCATTGCCAACGCATTCTCATCCTTTAACGTCATATAGAACGCTATATGCAAAAACGGCGCTATACTACGCACATGGCACCCGTTATCGTTAATATAACACGTGCTGTGAGGGCTAAGTTTAGGTGTGGGGTAGGGTGTGCGTGTCATATTCACGCTAAAGGATTTATAACGTCTTGGGTTCGCGTGTTATATTAACGATAAAGGGTGCCATGTGCGTAGTGTAGCGCCGTTTTTGCATATAGCGTTCTATATGACGTTAAAGGATGAGAACGGGCTGTCATTGCCCAGGGACGAGCATGTGAAGAATCAGTGGTCAGAGTTCATATTTGCAACGAGTAATATTTGCAATACAGTGTATATATGGAGCAGGTTCGTCTTCCTCCGAATCACAATCTGTAAGTAATATTAATAATGTTTTCTGTTATGTTTTCTGTAGCATCCACAATATAGTTATATTGTGTTGTGGGTGTTGTGTACTCTCCGCGCAGCTTCTAAGCGAGGTAAAGTTATTTTTGTTTTTGATATTCACCAGACATTCTTTGAAAAATTGCAATTACCTCCTAAACGACTTAGCCAAATATGACTTTGCTCTATATAATAAGCACTGCCCCTCAAAAGCCGCCGCAATGTGAGTTTCGCGGGGAAAGCTCGCTCTTGATGGAGACGCGAGTAAGGGACCGTGTGGAAACTTTTTCTGACACGTTTGTTCAAACACTATATACAATTTTCAACACTTGACAAGCTATAATCCTGGTTATGGGCGTTCCGTTGCCGACAGTCTTTCTCGTTGAGAAAATGGGGTAAAAATAAATGCGTATTATAAGACAAATAAAGTGTTTTTTATCCTTGCATGCACGTTAAACTGTTTTTGGGAACTCCTAAAACAAAAATAGGAACATTTCAAATGCTATGATAGGGGCTCTTTATCAAACGACGAGAACATTTTTTGTGCGCAAAAACAAACATAAATAACGATTTTATTTCAACTATTCCCTTCCTTCTCTTTGCACCTCTGGTCAGTTAAAATAGTGTAATTGCATATGATCTGTTGTTGGACATCACACGCATCACACACATGACCAGCGTCGGCCAATAGTAAGCCTACGTGTGACGTAGCTCTACGCAATTACACTAGTTTAATTGACTAGAGGCCGACTAGACCGACTAAATCCAGAAGAACTATGGCAACGTTTCCAAGACTCTCGAAGAAAACTTCCTGCATTTATATTTTATTTAGATAAATATATATACATACAATGATTTTTCATGTGACACTGAAGAGCCAGGAGTTGACATTTTTGTGTGCAGTTGGCATGGATCAGTTGTCGAGTGCCATCGAGGCTGCAGGACCAGATGTCAAAAGGGAAAAAGTAAAAACAAAATTGCGTCCCATTATTATAATAATTTTTACATGAGTGAGGGCGGAATTTGGTCACAAAGTTCCTATTGCTGGAGGCTCAAAATGAATAATAGTTCAGCAGCCAAAGTACATTTTACCCACAGACGCTTTATCTTAATATTTCATAAAAAACAAACAAAAAAAAAAAAAAAAAACACAAGCTCTCTGCGTTACGTCCAGCATGACAGCTATAAATGCAAGTGAAAGGAATAAAATAATTCACCAAGAGTCAGAGTGAACAAGTTATGTCTGGGTTTTCCCATTTCAATGACAGACTAGGGTTAATAACAGTCTGTGTTGCCATTTTTAAAGTCATGGTGTGTCGTACATTTGCGCTTTGTGTATCTCCAAAGCAGTTTAATCTTGTTTTTGGAGACCAGAGAGAGATGTCTCTGGCATGAGGAAGGAGGCTAGGCCAGAGCTTTTCTGTCTGGGTATTTATGAGGCCTCAGGGGTGCATGAGGAGTAAAATGAGGTGTTACGTTTCTCATGTCAGCACAAAAAAAAATTGTAAAAGGAAAGATTGCAGGGATGCTGAACAAAGGTCTGGCAGAGTAAATTGCAAGGGAGCAGCTGCCATGGCAACCCTCTGATAGTGAAAGCTGCATGTGAACCCTGCTCGGGGGGAGGGAGTGGTGCTGTTAATTATCCCGGTAATGATGGATCATAACTGCCTATTACATACACACAAACAATACCAGCACTCCTGTATTTTGTAAGGAATGCTGAACAGGCACAAGAACACACGCACCATTACATGCATGGAAAATCTCACAAAAAGTCTTATTTAACCCCAAAATTAAAAGAAACAGTACTCTACCATTAAAATTTTGGTGTCAATAAAACTTTTAATTAGCGAGCACAGATTTACATTGATAAAAAGTATCAGTAAAGACATTCATAATGCTACAAAAGAGTTTTAAATTCATTCCTTTCTATTCATCAAACAGCAACCTTTGAGAACCTTATTTACTTTTGAATGGTAGTGTATAGAATTTTTGCATGAAAAGTATTCTCATTTTTTACCTTTTACGATTTATTTACAATGTGACATTATTTCCATTACAAATAAACATTTTATTCAAAATTTCACATGAAAAATCTGATTTGTGTTTCTTAAATGTTAAAACATATCATTTTAATTGTATTACTGCCCTGATAAACATCCTGCCATCCACTTTATTCAGCATATATAATTGTCATTATGTGTACTGTTGCACTTTACAATTTAAAGATTTTTATTTTCATATTACAGTAGGTTATTTGAAGGAAGGCGATACCCGTGTGCTTAATTGTCATGGTATTAAAGCAGTTTGTATCTTAAAAAATATGCTTCACTTTGTTTATATAATATACAGTTTATTTAAAACTTTAGGGTGAAATGTTTCTTGAGGATTGACTTTTAATCACATTGCTGCCAGAGAGAAGCAACTGAGATTTTCTTTGTGATATGGATAGGTCCGTGGGGTTTTAAAAAGTATTAAAAAGTGATAAATCAAAATTGTCAAATTTAAGGCCATTAAAAATGTTATATGTAGTCTGAGAGGTATTATTTTTTTAAAATTAGTTGTTGTTTTTTTCAGACTATCGGGTGTCCTATTTTGTGTTTGCGTTAGTCCGTATAAATATGGGCTTTAGCTTATCTGGGCACAATCAAAGATCTTTCATCTCTGTCTATGTTTGATGCTGATGTCATATTCAGTGGCTGGACGATATGATGATATATATACTGAGGCTATAAAACCCTGATATAAGTGATCACCCGGATTTAGACCTACCTATATTGTATTTATAAAGCGTTCACAGGCAAATTTGCTTTAGCCTATGTAGGTCTATATATTGCTTTTATTTCCCTTTTATTGAAATCAGGCAAACATAAATGTAAGGCGACACGATTGCTGACTGCATGTCAATATCCATGGATCACTGGATCTTTAGTAAGGTGTTAGGAGTCCAACTATATTGAGTCCAACATTTAGTTTAAATTTATCAAATTTTTATTTTTTGTCGCATTTTCGCTTAATAGTTTCCCCTATTAAATCCAGTCACGCAGCAGATCTTTTGCCACTCAGGTTGAGGTGGGTTGTACCGGCGGGAAAGTGATGTCAATGCATTCCCTCTATTGTTTGGTGTGTAAAAAAACATCAATGTCAACTGGATGGGAGCTAATGCACTTCGGTCGCAAATGCAATCCACTAAATATAACATGCTTAAACATGCTCTAAATCTATTCATTTTTGTATGTTATAAATGTCAAAATCTGTGTAATAGAAAGGTAACTGGTTAACACTTGCAATTCAGTGTCGTGATGGTTTTTAAAAAAAATTCTGATGGTAGTAAAAAAGGTATTAAAAAGTTACTGTATATACCGGATTGCTCTGATGTTAGAATTCATACTGGGTGGGAGGGGTTGAGCAGAGGCATTCTGGGAGTCCATTCAGGGCTAGAACAGACACATCAGCAGAAACGTTGATATGGAAATGTGTAGATGAAGAGTTGAAGAGACAGATGCATAACAGGTCATTCTAAGTGTGTTCCTTCTGCACTCACTAAGAGAAATGCTCTGACATATGCCCACATCTCAATCACATATGAAACCTGCACATTTTTAATTAATCATTATGTATTTATTATGTGTATACTCTACATTGTTATTTTTAGGTTTTCATTACCATTATCCACCCTCTCCCTGACCCATAGC